CTCCCTGCCACCTCCTCCGGATGCCCGCAGGCCACGTAGTGCCGCCACCAGGCTCACAGAGCTGACCCTGGAGGCTGGCCAGTGCAGGATTGAAGCCTACTCCACCACCTCTCAGTGCTGTTGTCCCTGGGCTCGGCCACAACTGGGACCCCTGGTCAGGCGAGTGCTCCAGATCCACGGAAGATGCCAGACCAGGGAGCAGCCACTCAGAGGGTTGGTCCACAGCTGTTTGGCAGACTGGGATGAGCTGCGCTCCCACAGTGAACCGATCCCCACAGGCCATGCCCCCCACCAGTGCATGAATCCTGTGCACTGGGCCTCTAGTTTGGAGATTAAAGTCATTAGCACATGAACAACCTACCTTTAAGGTATAGACAGAAGAAACAGAATCCTTGAGAGAGACTGAGTGGTGTATTGGAAGACAAAGGAGGGGATATGTTTTCAACAAGAGTGTGGTACTCAGCAGCATAAATGCCACAAAAGGGACAACTAGGACAGGACTGATTAAAAAAACAAACCACACACTAAAAATAGGGGATTGCAGGGAGAAATTACAGATGAGTCTTGAACAACACGAGGGTTTGGGACACTGATCCCCCATGAGGGTGAATATCCATGTATATCTTTTGACTCCCCACAATAAAACTTAACTACTTTGACTGAAAGCCTTACTAATATCATACACAATTGATTAACATGTATTCTGTATGTTATATGTACAATATAGCATATTATTACAGTAAAGTAAGCTAGAGAAAATAAAATGATAAGAAAATCATAAAGAAGAGAAAATACATTTATAGTATTTATTGAAAAAAATATGCATGTAAGTGGACCCATACAGTTCCAACCTTTTTGTTCAAGAGTCCAATGTACATTTAGAGTCCTATAACAGTGGGGGGAAAAAAACAAAACAGCTGAATGCTTACCATGTTTAGGTTCTATCACTATTCCTTAAGAACATAACTAAAAATTACATGCATTTGTGCAAGAGAATATTCCAGCTCTCCTGGTACTTAGATTGGTGGTAGAGGAGAAAGAAGCTCATGGTCAGTGCTATAATAAGTTCAAGTGTCCCTGAACAATACCTCTGCCTTCTGCTTTCTAGGGTCTCTGAGAGCCCCTTTCTTACAAATACCATGACTCTGTGTGTTGTGCCATTTTGCCTTATTATTGTCAGCATATTGTAAACATAGGTGCTTATAGATTCTTTCTAGTTCATTCTAGTTCCAAATAGTTACTTATTTCTAGCTACGAGGCTTGTAGTGGATGCTACCGTATGTCACCCAGATGCCCTCTCCACAGTTGAGGCCCTCTTTGTCCACCTGCTGGAAGCATAGGCAGGTAGGGATGGTTCTCACCTGGGAATTGTCCTCAGCTGAAGCATGTTGCTTCCCCCAATATTATATAACCTCTGGGAGGGGGATGGAGAACAGCCTACAATGATGAGTCAATGGAGGTGGGGTACAAAGGCTCCCCTTCCTCAAGGTAGGATAGTTTTGAAGAGTCATCCTAGATTCATAGCTCCTGTGCATCCTGTTGAACCCTTTTATCTGCTTAGTCAAGTTCTTCTCCCTTCACTCCCCCACTGCGCACACACCAACAGACTCCCTCCGGGTAAATCTCAGAGATTTTCAGAGTCTGTCTCCTAGGGAACCAACCTAAATTGATGATTGTTTTCAGTTTGGTTGCTTACCCAAGAGGGGACACCAATCAAAGTCTGCAGTCCCTCAGACCTTTGCTTCTGATCCCCTTGGACATGTCCAGTGGAAGAAACCTCTCTCCCAAGAGTTGGAACGAAATTCAGCATTGAGCCTCCTTGGCTCCAATTGGTTGGGCCATATGCTCAGTATGGCCTACTCAAGAAAGGAAAGAGCCTAGAAGTCAGCTTCTCAGCTCCTCCAGAGACCTAACCATTAAACCCAGCCCTGAGGAGGGATCCATGAGGTGGGCTGACCCTTGGGTGTAGAAGCTGGTCCCAGCTCTGCACCCTGTTTCTCTTCCCACCCGTTGCTCTAGGCACCGCTCAAGGCAGCTAGTAGTCATAGTCCCACCGCTCAAGGCAGCTAGTAGTCATAGTCCTGCATTGCCCCTCTCCCCCATTCTCGTTCTTTGTGTGTGTGTGTGTGTGTGTGTGTGTGTGTGTGTGTGTGTGTGTGAAAAATGAATGTTGAAAACACAATTGAGATATTTCAAGCAAATGTAGAATCCCCCTTGAAATTTCTTGCAGAAACAGCACTGAGCAAACAAACTACGGGAAGCACAGCTTAGAAACAAACAGCAGCTGCCACCATTTGTGGGTTTCTTTTTCCCTTTTTCTCATTTGTTTCTAATTCGTTTTCAATAAAACCTGCTGCCTAGTAGTTGAATAATTTTTCTTTCCTATCCTGAGGCCTTACAGGTGGCCCTGATCATCTCTTTTAGTGATGCGGTCTCGGTAGACAGAACTTTCGGCCCATACGGTGTTCTCCTGTTCCCTGGTTCCATCTGGAAAGGTGTCCACACCTCCCTGACCAGATGGGGTTTAGCTGGAACTTCTGGATGGTTTGATCTGTCGGGACACAAGTCTGCAATGTGGTTTCTTGCCCTTCTGGCTTTACTATAATAGATAGCGCTAATTCCCATTTTCTCAGTGACTAACTGCTTCAACTGTTGGGTTTTTTCATTTTACTTTGTTTTGCATTTATTTTCTATGTGGACTCTTTGAAGGCACATTGCAAAGGGCTTTTCTTGGGCCTGATTTTCTAAAAACTATAACTTTAAAGAAGAATAGTAATATGTCACATCCAACTCATCTGTTTCCTTCCTCACGAGTAGCAGCCTGAAGCAGCCCCTCTCCATTTCTGTGCTACTAATGGTGTGAAATTCCTCATCTTAAATGTTATTATTGGATATTAATTGATGGCTGACTATGGTCAAGGCATGGTGCTGGACCCTCACTTGTTCTTCACTGGAGTTCTGCTGGGTAGAGGCCATCCCGTTTTATCTGCTCACAGAGTAGATTGCTCTCCAGGGCGTCCTAGGGTCATAGCCAGGTGTGGCAAAGCTGGTGTTCAACCCAGATCTGTCTGCAGCCCCAGCATAGGCTTCTCCGTTCCATCTCAGAGACCGCAATATATGTGGCAGCATTCGCATAACAAGAGTGTTGACTAGCTATAGTCATGCTTTTAGGCTAGAGGTGGTAGTCTTTTATTTGTCCTTCAGAGTTGTTGTTTTTTTTCCTCCCCCTCTTTGTGTGTGTGTGTGTGTGTGTGTGTGTGTGTGTGTGTGTATGTGTGTGTTTTAAGTGAGTTGCCAAACATTTAAAGATTAGGTGAGCCGAAACCGGTTTGGCTCAGTGGATAGAGCGTCGACTTGGGGACTGAAAAGTCCCGGGTTCGATTCCGGTCAAGGGCATGTACCTTGGTTGCGGGCATATCCCCAGTAGGGGCTGTGCAAGAGGCAGCTGATCGATGATTCTCTCTCATCGATGTTTCTAACTCTCTGTACAAAATCAATAAAATATATTTTTTTAAAAATTAAAAAAATAAAGATTAGGTGAAGGTTTGGGGTAGGGTGGGAACTGGATGGAGCGGAGCAATGCGGGGACATACCATACATAATACGCTGAACAATAAAGATCAATAAAAAAAAAAAAGAGGCAATCTCCGTTTTTCTTTTTTAAAAAAATCTTTAGACCTGGCAATACTGTGTTCATAGGTTTATGGTATAATTGTTCCAGCGACATAAAATTTTACCCCCTCCCACCCTACCCAAAGGAGACCTGACTTCGGTCTGCCACATGCCTCAGCTACCCTGCTTCACACTTAGGCCATTTTCCTGGCCCCTGTGGATGTGTGAGTTTGTCATTCTTGAGATAGGCTTTTCCAGGAATAATCTCTGTCCAGTTAGGAATCGGTAGAGGTCAACGTCAGTTTCTGTCTCTGAGTTGAATTTTACAGCCTTTGATTTTTCTTTTCAATTTCTTGGGATAGTGATTCAGTAAGAATATCTTTAGTTGTTCAACATTTGTTGAACATCCTAACATTCAGCTGACACTGAGGATAGGCAGACAGATTTAGTGGTAAGAATCTGTATAATTCTCCTATTTAGTTTGCATTCTAACGCCTGCAGGTATTCCTCAGGTACTGCAGGAGCTGGAAGCCACCTGCAAAAGGGTATTTTGCAGAGGTGGTATCCTAGAGAGGGGAGATGAATCCAACACCACTGAGTGGGGCAGGGGTGTTGCTTCCATAGGTAAGAAGAGTCATACACCCCTATTTCCCCCCATTTCCATCCAAGGCCTTCATCATCCTCTTGTCTGTGTCCATGGGTTATGCATATATGCATGCAAGTTCTTTGATCTCTACCCACCTACCTACCCTCCCCCACCTTCCCTCTGAGGTTCCACAGTCTGTTCTATGCTCCTATGCCTCTGGATCTATTTTGCTCATCAGTTTATCTTGTTCATTAGATTACACATATGAATGAGATCATGTGATACTTGTCTTTCTCTGACTAGTTTATTTTGCTTAGCATAATACTCTCCAGGTCTCTCCATGCTGTCTCAAAGGGTAAGAGATCCCTTCTTTTTTATTGCTGCATAGTATTCCATGGTATAAATGTATCACAGCTATTTTTATTCACTCATCTACTGATGGGCACTTGGGCTATTTCCAAATCTTGCCTATTGTAAATTTTGTCTTGATGTATCTGCAAGTATATTTTCATTTGCAGTGAGAAATGTAAGTTGTTGTTGTTTAATTGTTTTAGTGGGAGTCATGTCTCTTTTTATCTGATTTTAACACATCTCATGGAAATATAAAATAGAAACAAAATGGATTTTGACTAATTTCATAGGTGCAACGGAATTAAAGTTTAATAGTATTCAATATTAACACATCAGAGTCCCAAAGCTAAAGTTGTTATTTATTTGTGTATGTTAAATAATTATTTGCTTTTAATTAAGACAAGGCCTAGAATATTGTTTGAATTTTTATGGTTTGTTTATTTTCTTTCAGGATCCTGCAGGGATCTTTGAATTGGTGGAACTTGTTGGAAATGGAACATATGGGCAAGTGTATAAGGTAAGTTCAGTTGGGTTTGAACATGGCTTATGTGTTTGGGTTCATGAATGCTGAGTTGCAGTGCTATCATTCTTGCTCATATATGCCTCATAACAGATTGGAAATGAAATAATATACTGTACTTGTTAACTGACTCTCCACCATTTTAAATATACATGTAGTCCCATTGCCTAAACTGGATTCTGGGATTCGGGCCTTTCCAGTCATTATGTATTACAGTGTTTATATCTGACACATGTCTGCATATTTGAAGTTCTTCAGGTGGTTAGTTTCCTTTACTTTAATCATTGCCAGACTGGTTTTCAAAGGAGCAAAGATGCCATTTACTTTAGAAATTTAAGCTATTAAAGTATCACAGCTGGAAGAGTAGATTTGTTATTGGCCTAGGGCATGAGTTAAATGAGTTTGGTGAACAGTGTTAGGAGAAAACTGGCTACCTCACAAAGCAAAGGCTGAATGCAGCAATGACTTTTTACAAGATACGAAATAATTAAAAGTTAAGGTTGAGTTGAGGTTGAGCTGAGGAATAAGAAGTCCTTCTTGCCCTTTTACTAATTTCTGCTTAAAATGTCTCCCCCAAAATGCTTTTAAAAGCATTTTACTGTTCCCCAGTAAGTGATCTCAAAAAATGGTTGTTTAAAATGTGGGTTGATTCCCTTTCTGATTATCAAAAGGAAATGGAAATGAACTGTTTTTAGACTAAAACTCAGGGGTTTTTAGTGAATACGCTATTGAAATAACTGCCTTCAAAATAAACCAACTGTTTCCTTATGATTGTTTCTAGGGAAATATCCCATCATTTTCCTGAGTGGTAGTGATATGGGATGGCATTTCCATTACTAATTATCTCTTGTTTTATTTTTAAAAATTCTTCTATGAGGCCTAAAGTACACTTAGCTGATTCAAATTATTGTAGAAAGTCATCAGGATAATAAGATTTCTAATCATAGAGAATGTCAAGTATATACATGTATATATGTCAAGTATATACATGTATGTACTTATATAGTAATTTTGAGATCTGTTTTTTTAAAACCAGAATCATATTTCAACCTATATTTACTGGATGGTAGTACCCTTTGGTGTTCACTCCAAGGGAAAATTTTCTCTTGCAAGAAACCATTATTTCTTAAAATGTCAACCCTCCGCAGTGAGACAGAATGTAGTCTATCCAAGATGTTCATTTGACGTTGATCCTGTCTGACACAAGAAAGAAATGTGTCTCAGCAAATGCTTTTAAATACTTTCAATGATGATAATGAGGTTGGAAGATTGTATTATTGCATTTTGGGGAATTGGATTGAACTTGTGAATTAAAGTGAACTAAGGAATTAAGCTCCGATGTAGGCAGAAAATTACTTCTAATTTGCTATCAGGATCGAGGAGCAACTCTGTAGCATGCTGTTGGTTTCACAGTGCCATTTCTTAGAGCGATTCCATTGTATTGTGCTTTCGACCTATAGAGTACACATTTGTAGGATGATCCACGAATCCATGGGGTAGACTGTACACTCTTGCAAGAGAAGATGACAAAGAAGTTCAATTTGGGGTGAGAAGGTTTAGAAAACCCAGAATTATCCCTAATATCTTGTACCTGAAAACAAAGAGGAAACAAATGGCAAGATGTCTCAGATCTTTTTAGTGAAGAAAGGTTTTTACCAATCATATCGTTAACATTATTATTCTAATGGGTGCCATTCTCTTAGTGGTTGATACAAAACTTGGGCACCTCTCAAGCTGAGGCTGCAAAGAATGGTCATGGTGAACCCATTGGACATTGCGACAGGAGACTTGGTCTCCTTCTCTAACCCTAGGTATTGTTTTGTGGCATCACAGCTTTTCTGTGCATTGGTCAAGTGAGAATGTAGTTAGAAATAACTCCCTACCCAGTTAAGGATTCAGTTTTTAGACAACCCAGATGATACTAGGTGGCACTCGCTCATGAACAGAGACACCTGGGTTTCCTGAGCCACTAATCCAGTTCTGCTGTTACTTTGAGTTCTAAGGGATTAAAACTTAATAAAGTAGCAGTATTTGAACTTGTGTGTGTTCAAATTCTGCTACTTTTAAGAAGTGATTGTTTACATTATTGGTTATATTTAACTTTTATGGACTAGGTATATTTTTAAAATATTGCTGGCATAAATAGCAATTGTATAGTCTTAGGAAGAGATTCCTATACAAAAATAGCTCTATGATAAATACTTCCTTTATATTAGGTGTTAAATCTTTGATTTTAATTTTTTTGTAATTTTGCTTTTGGTGTCCCTGGATTTCACATATTAAGGTATAATTTTACAAACAATTATATGGACACAGTCTTTATTTTATAGAAAGATTCATTATAAGCTATTCTCCGAGGGTAATAATTTAACTTAATTTACAACTAGTTTTTAAGAAACAAAAAGTGTATGTAGATATTAAGAGAGTATTTCCTAAGGTAAGTCTGTATGTAAGCCACATACACCAGGATGTGGAAATATAAGTATTTTATGTAAAGGTCATTTAGTAATGATTAGCTTTTCAAAATAGCTTCTCCTCTTACTTTCAAGTCTACCTTGTTCTATCCGTTTGTGGAAGGCCAGATTTGTTTATCTTTAGCATTTTGGCCCCAGGTAGTCAAGTGGCAACTGTCTTTTTATTTATTTATTTTTTTTTACTTTATTTATAGGATAGAATACACAATTATAAAGAGTAGTGATTCTTCTTCCTCAGTTTTTATGAGGAAACCATCATCTTGGGCTTATGGCTCCCATTAAGAAACCAGCCAATGAAAGGACACCTATCTATTTGTTCAATATTTTGACTGTTTATTGGGATGCTACCTATTGGGAACTAATGAAATCCCAACATGTTTTTGTTAAAACAGTAATTATTTTAATAATTTGAAATAATGATTAAGTGTTTGTTATTAAAACACCATTAAACCATAGCTACAGATTTTAAAAATGAATGTTATCTATCCCATATCTTAATTTGCCCTTTAGTCCTGGGTGTCAGTATGAATTAGGAAGTTGGTATATCTCAGTATAGCTCATGTTTCTCTTGAAATTTCCTTAAGGTTATAAAGGATGAAGTAAAGAGGCCATCTTGGTGGTTATTGTGTTTGTGAGAGAGAGAGCACTGTGTGTGTATGTGTGTATGTGTGTGCGCATGTGTGTGTTTTCAAAGGATTACAAAGGTCCTCTTAGATCACCTAGTCCAATCATTACCATGTCAGTTGTCTATTCAACCCATCCTTGATCATCTCCAGTCATGTGGAGCTCACTATCTCACAGTTGGTCCATTTTCCTGTAACTCTTTTTGAATGTTCATTATCATATTGGATCAAGATTTTTGCTTCCAAAAATGTTTACCATACCCTCAAAACTATTAAAAAAAAAAAAATTAAGTCCTCTTCCACAAGAACAGACTCCTTTGGGTATTTGAAGACTTCTCCCTACTTCCTCCAAACACATACTTGTGTCTCTTTGCTTCCCAGACAATGTAACCTCAATGGCCTAATTAATTCTTCATATGCCACAGACCTGAGGCCCTTCATTATCTTGGCTTCTGTCCTGAAACTATTCTAATATATTAGTAAAAATAATGCTTTATACTTTTACATAGTTTCCTACTTCATAAAACATTTCATATGTATTATTTGACTTTTTATTTAATTCCTATAATAATTTGAAGAGAACCTTGTTCTCCATTTAGAGTCTTTATAGTTACAGTTCCCTCTGCCTAGAACACTTTCCCCCAACCCTCTTAGGACTGGGTACTTCTCCTTCAGGTCTCAGCTTGAAAGTTACATCCTCAAGGAAACTACTTTTCATCCTTATATCTAATATAGCCAACCATCCCCTTTGCCTCTCTCCCTTACAGACTTTATCACATCAATGAGTCTTATTGCCACTCTCTGAAATTACCTTACTTCTTTGTTTATGTATATACATATATAAATAATTTCAATACATAAATAAAATAAAAATAAGGGTAGGGACCTATACTGTCTAGCCATCACTGTATCCACAATCTGGAATATAATAGATATTAACCATTATAGGTCCCAGAATTGATCTTTATTTTCCTTAATAATTATTTTGACATTTTTTCAGTATTTTCCATAAAATATCAGTCTTCTTATTTCAGAAAATGCATATTTGCACAAAAATAATCAACAAAATGCTCTACTTATTTTCTTATAATTGGAGGTGGATATTGAGTTTATATTAAATGGATTGTGAAATAATCTGTATAATCAAGATCCATGCTGGAAGTTTACAAAATGAGGCAAATCCATTTTCTGGGATTCAGTCTCCTGGCAGAGATTCTCAAATTTGAGTGTATAAAATGAATATTTGGGAACTTATTTGAAATGTGGATTTCCAGGCCCAACCTCTGAAATTTTGGTTCAGGAGGTCAAGAATACAGTCCAGGAATCTGCACATTAATTAAATATTGTATGGGGAGAGAATCCAGGATGGCTACCCAGGTAAACACCTAGCTGCAGCCGCACACAACAATTTCAATAAAATACAACTAAAATATAAAATGGACATTACCCAGAACTACAGGAAAGTCAACTGACTGGAATTCTACAACGAGAAGCAAGGAGAAAACCAGAAGGAAGCATGGAGGAGCTGTAAAAGCCTAAGATACAGAGACACGCAGCGCGCATGGAGAGAACGAGAACGGAGCCGGAGAAAGGGGCGGCTGATTGCCTGGCTGGCGTTCCCTAGCGGGGAGGAGATAAAAGTTCCGACTGTGCTGGGCTCCAGTTCTGACCGCTCTGAACTGCATTTCTAGGCCAGACCCTGGGGACCCAGGCTCATCCATAGGAAGCTGGGCTGTAAGGTGGAACCCCGGGGGAGTGGTGAAAGGAGGTCCCGGAGGCGTGCACATTGCACACAGAGAAGGGATGGTTGGCTGTGCCACGGGATTGCCCTGGCGGGAAGGAGACAAAAGCTTTGGATTGCTCTGAACGCCACCTCCAATTCCACTTCCAACTGAACTGA